AACACTGTCCTCTACCACTTCATATTTCACAGTTGTGAGCTTCCAGCATTCTTCATTATTGTCAGTTCGGAACACAGAGTGAAGTATGTCATCAGTAGTTCCCTAATAAATATAAATACCAAACTGTAATTTTTAATAATGAAGTAGTTCCCTAATAAATATAAATACCAAAGTGTAATTTTTAATAATGACCACATTTAATATGATTCATTCTAACAGTGACAATCTAACAAATTTGCTGTTAAAAAATATATGTCAAAATAGGTTATTCAACTAAATGAAACAATAGTCAGAAGAGTTAGAGAATCGACACAACTGTCACAACATTAAAGTTCAAATATTTAATTTCAAGGAAAGCTGATGTAAGCCTCAGTACTATACATAGTTTTAGATTCATAAACTATGTATGATGGTCACTCCCCAGGATAACATTTTCCTTATGTTTCAATACACTGCAAATAAATAAACATCGTATATAAAATGTTCAGAAATCTAACAATATAAACTCTGAAGGTAATAAGATACTGTAACTTACTGAATATGGCTGACTGCTTAGATACTGACGCAATGCTGCATCTGAACTTTCACATTGCTGCTTGAATTTGTATGATGTATTTACCAGCCGGACACATTGCCGACATACCTGTGCTGGTAAACCATCGCCTAAGAACAGCTGTAAATACATAAAAATATACCATGAATCCAGACATGTGCTTCCAACTTATTTGCAACTGTGGGCAAGTGGACATTATTGGTCTCTATCATACCTTATAACTCCCCCCATAGTATGAGGCTGCCAGCTGGTAATGCATGCTATCATTCAGTTTACAATTTATTTTCTTCCCATCTGCTAACCAAAAATGTAAAGATTAAAATATAAAAACTCTAGATCTACGTGTTGTTTTGTATAGCCTCACATTAAAGATAGAACACAGATTGAGGGTGTTTCAGAATAACAATATTGGTAAACTTTCTCAAACCAAAGTACTCACTAACCAAAATTCCATACAGCTAATGAGTGATTACATATCACTTACACATTCACTAATCAAGACTATGCAGATTTTTATTATTTCACTAGATAACTCATCACAATAAGACTGAGATTTTACTTTTGAGAGACTGAATGTTATTTCTTTAACAATTGTTGGGGCTCAGTTTATACATATAAATTTATTTGGAAATGCCTATTTCTGGTAGTGTAATATGTCACTACTGCCGTAAATTAGATGGACTTCCAGATTTCATGCAAAATTTACTGTTGAAAGCACCGAAATTTATTGGGTACTTCTCGTTTTAATATTATCGTTTATTGATGCGATTTCGTCATTAACATCTATTTAACCAGTTAACCTTGAAACTACGTATACAGAAAATAATAGTACTGAAATAAAAATCCATAATGCATTACCAGAAAATTAGAAAACATACCTTAACATGTGGTACGAAACTCATTATTTTTGCTGGAAGAGAAATAATCTGTCCCTTCTCATCACTGAAGAGGGGCAATAACGCATCCTTCCTTCCCATGCAAAGACGACAGATGCTGTTGAAATTTAACGCCATTACCACCACAGTTAAAAAAAGTTTATTGTCCTTTTACCTACGAAATAATAAATTTATTTCACCAAGTCCCAAAGTATAAACACAACATTTCGCCATTTTCAAGTAGTCATAGCTTCCTTGATTCCCATAACTATAGAACGATGGTAAATACATTTTGGAGTCACTACAGCGTCTTGTAGTTGATATATATTTTCAGCTTCAAATAAAATGCTGTATGGGGCATGCATACGAAGTGAAAAGAAAAGTATTTACTACATCCGTGGTCTTAGACTAGAGTGTACAATACGTTTCCAAATGCATGTGCTATTGACAAATTTTGGCACAAGAGCCTGTAATTAATTTATAGCCATGTTTTTCACAAAGTACAACAGAAATTTGGCCACTCACATGCTTTTCTTTAAAAAATCTATTCCCTTTCCCTCAGTGAATGCATTTTCACCTTATTGGGAAATTCTAACCTAAATCAGAATTTGTCATCAGCAATGACATAAATTTTGTCTAACCTCTCTACTAACATAATTCAATCTCACGTCAGAAGCAAATTTCCCCACAAGAATTCAAAATAACTCCAGTACCGCCATTGATTAATTGGTAAATGGGCTATCTGATCATGATGCTCAACTTCTAGTCACAAAAAATATAAAATCAACTTTAAGCAGTCATTACAGGAAACAAGCTAGACTTATGAATAATAACACTATTAAAGAATTTACAACATATCTAAGTAATGAAAAGCAGAAATCAGTATTAAACAACCATGATGCAAATTCGTAATTTAACACATTCCCAAACATCTTAGCTAATTATGAAAGAAATTTTTGACCAAACCAGAAAGAAAGGTATTTGATAACAATGAATGGATAACCAAAGGCATCAAAAATCTTGGAAACACACGTCTGATTAATGAAGTCTGTCACATATAGAAAAGAACCAGAAACTTTTATTAGTACAATTAAGTCGCATTTCATAACAATGAAATATTTATCAATCAGTAATACTTCATGTTTTATGTAACATCAGCAGAATGTGAAATGACTTGTCAGTGATACAATCATTTTATATATAGTGCAGATTCTGAAGCAAGAATACTGCTTATGTAAATGATTTAAATGGTATTAATAAATGTTTGTCATTAAACAGGAAACAGAACTTGAGAAAGTTAAGATACAAATAATAATAATAACTGTAATCCTTTTAACATGATATGTCCTCATTTTTTAACTGTAAACATAAAAATAATGTTATTAAAATGAAGATCATAAGGGCGATGATGATGGAGGCAGCATGGACCTCTGAAACGTTGGTGGACATCTACCAGTCTACATGGCGCAACAACCCAGAAGACAGCAATCTTCAGACTCACCGCCATGAAAACCTCAAATCCTACATGTTATTAAAATTCTAACAATGTCGTTCTCATGTAGTAAGATACTTCTAAAAATCTAACAAAGTTTCCATTGACTATATTGTAACAATGTGTATTGTAAACCTCAAAAATCAAATGTTACTGTTACACAACTTTATAAGAAAGAATAATTTTAAAAAGACAAATAGATTTTGCAAGTATTAATACAAAGCCATGCCAAATGCATTTCTTCAAACCAACTTCTACTTGCCACTCAAAGATGACAAGGCTTCTGCATTCACTGAATAAATATTTCATGCCTAATCCTGCCTTCCACTTCCAGATCGTAGAAGATGTGGCTTCATAGCAGACATGTTCAACCACATAAACTATGATCAGTAACACTCAAGGTATTTATTGCTAAAACCATTCATTACATTCAAGAATGGAAATACCATTCATTCCTGAAACACCACGCTCAATACAGGCGTATCAAATTATCATATAAGAATTATATAAAAGGAAAATCACACTAGATAATGTGGCGTATCAAATTATCATATAAGAATTACATGAAAGGAAAATCACACTAGATAATGAATTTTATAAATCTTCCATTGCTTGAATAGAATTGTTTTAAAATACAATTTGCATTTTTGAACAAGAGAACATGTCATCTAACAGCATTTTACTCCATTTAAAAATTCATACCTTTGGTTTCCTTCTAGATGCATGGGTTGCTAAGTGATTTTTCAAATGAATGTTCTGGGCAAACTTCTTTCCACACTCAATACATATAAATGGCTTCAAGCCCAAGTGAAGTTTCATATGTTCTTTCAACTGACCACTCCGAGCGAAATGCTTTCCACATTCTGTACACCCATAAGGTTTCTCGCCTGTATGTGTAGCAAGATGGTTTTTTAAGTGTATATTTTGTGCAAAAGTTCTGCCACATTCATTACAGCCGTATGGTTTTTCATGAGTATGTGTACTCAGGTGATTTTTAAGATGTATATTTTGTGAAAATGTTTTTCCACATTCTGTACAACGAAATGGCTTTTCTCCAGTATGAGTGCTAAGATGATTTTTCAAATGAACATTCTGAGCAAATGTCTTACCACATAAATTACAACCATACGGCTTCTCCCCAGTATGCGTGCTGAGATGGTTCTTTAAATGTATATTCTGCGCAAAACATTTGCCACACTCAGAACAGCTAAAGGGTTTCAAGTGTGTATGAGTGATTAGATGATTTTTAAGATGTACAGTCTGAGCAAAAGTTTTGCCACATTCCTTACAATGATAGGGCCGTTCCCCTGTATGAGTTCGCATGTGTGAAATAAGGTGCTGTTTTTGTACAAAGTGCTTTCCACATTCCAGACAGACAAATCTCTTTTTTAAAATGTGGGATTTCAATTGTGTGCTATAACTGGATCCAAGGGAATAATCACCAGAAGAAAACTCCCTGTCATATTTCATACTGTATGACATACTTCTGTGGAATAAATGTAAATTATCTGTAAGGGTTTTTGAAACATCCTCTATGCCTTCCTTAAGTGGTGATTCAGCCATTGCAGTGGAACTTATATCTTGACCTTGTTCTGTTAATGAACATATTGCAGTTGGAAACCTGTCAAGATAACATATTTGGTTTAAATACATTCTGGAAACCTCCAAACTTTATGAATAAACATCAATATACATTTAAGAATGTCCACAGCAACTTATTTCAAAGCACTAGAGAAACTTGCAATATGTATGAAACTCATCTATCTAAAATAAAAAAAGTCTGTTCTAGATGACTTGTATGCAATTCTCATTTCAGATTACAACACTATGGTATTGTATGAAATCACTTAATTCACATTTTAACAATAGTGTAAATGAAGTGTCTAATTTTCAATCCACACTGCAAAATATCTTAAACATTTTAAGACATACACTGGGCCAAATGTTAAACCTACGGTTTTAATTATTCAAACAGTATCCAAAAAATATCCAGAAGTGTAACTGCAGTGAGACTGTAAACAACAGTATTATGAAAGACTGAATTAGCACTCTTAAATGAGAGTATCATGTTTATGTGGTATGTGTCTTTTGGGTTATGATGCTGTGTGTGGTATTGTAGGTGGTTATCAACATTCTGGAGGATCAGTATCATAAGTCTTTATAGCAAAAGCCTGCAATAAATTTCCATCCAGGATGAGTATAGGAAATAAGTAATAAATTATAAAGTGTAGTGTCTTTCTGCCTTGTCATTAACATAGCATCAAAAAACAGTTACAAATAAATAAATTACATCCAAAATCTTACACTTGTTCCATTCCACCTTCAGCATTGTTTTCATCTGACTGACAATCTGCCAATTCGGCTTTCACTCTTACAAGTGCCCAGACATCTGGAGTGTCTTCTGCTGGATTTAAAGAATTTTGGGATACATTTACTTTTCCCTGGAAAGGCAAATCAGCATTTATATTCACTATACAGAATATTACACTTCCATTATATGCAAGAATAAATTGCTATTTAAAATAAGGATTAGATATGACCTAATCTAATATTTAATTAACTAATACAATAATTTCAATTTCTTCTATTTATTAAACAGTCTACAGATAAAACCCTGAACTCATTAAAACTTCATTTTTATCCAATACTTTTCCTTGTACTTGTATGTCACAGGAGTAATGCTAATATGGTTGCATGCTATTAAATTAAAGTATGAACAGTTAAATAAAAGTAATTAAATTATTGGACTGATAAATTTATGTGAATTAAGGTTGCTACCTCAGAAAATTCTGAACTTAATCTCTGATTTTTCAGTAACTCCCGGAAAGTTGCATCAGAGATTTCACACTGCCTTTTAAAATTGTAGGACACATTAACTTGATTTACACACTGTCGACAAACATGAGTTGGAAGACCATCATATGCATCCACCTGAAAAGGAAAGATAAATTATGGTACTGTAGTGAGGGTTATGAAGATGAAATGCCATGCTACTACTCACTGCAGAGCTAGAGGCAGGTGGCTGTATGGCATTATTCTTCAGCCATCTTAAAATCCAGGAAAGGTGAGGAATGCCAAAAATGTTTTAAAAGTGGAAGACAGGAGAGAGGGCATACACTGAAGGACAGGATGTTAAAGTTACAGATTTATGCGCATAAACACATACACACCTCTGAAATGTTGGTAAACTTCTACCAGACTACATGGCGCAACAACCTAGAACACAGCCATCTCCTTGTTTATTCTTGCTTCTCAATTAGTTATTAATACAAAGGTTGATATCCTGCAACAACCCAGAAGACAGCAATCTTCAGACTCACCGCCATGAAAACCTCAAATCCTACATGTTATTAAAATTCTAACAATGTCGTTCTCATGTAGTAAGATACTTCTAAAAATCTAACAAAGTTTCCATTGACTATATTGTAACAATGTGTATTGTAAACCTCAAAAATCAAATGTTACTGTTACACAACTTTATAAGAAAGAATAATTTTAAAAAGACAAATAGATTTTGCAAGTATTAATACAAAGCCATGCCAAATGCATTTCTTCAAACCAACTTCTACTTGCCACTCAAAGATGACAAGGCTTCTGCATTCACTGAATAAATATTTCATGCCTAATCCTGCCTTCCACTTCCAGATCGTAGAAGATGTGGCTTCATAGCAGACATGTTCAACCACATAAACTATGATCAGTAACACTCAAGGTATTTATTGCTAAAACCATTCATTACATTCAAGAATGGAAATACCATTCATTCCTGAAACACCACGCTCAATACAGGCGTATCAAATTATCATATAAGAATTATATAAAAGGAAAATCACACTAGATAATGTATTTTATAAATCTTCCATTGCTTGAATAGAATTGTTTTAAAATACAATTTGCATTTTTAAACAAGAGAACATGTCATCTAACAGCATTTTACTCCATTTAAAAATTCATACCTTTGGTTTCCTTCTAGATGCATGGGTTGCTAAGTGATTTTTCAAATGAATGTTCTGGGCAAACTTCTTTCCACACTCAATACATATAAATGGCTTCAAGCCCAAGTGAAGTTTCATATGTTCTTTCAACTGACCACTCCGAGCGAAATGCTTTCCACATTCTGTACACCCATAAGGTTTCTCGCCTGTATGTGTAGCAAGATGGTTTTTTAAGTGTATATTTTGTGCAAAAGTTCTGCCACATTCATTACAGCCGTATGGTTTTTCATGAGTATGTGTACTCAGGTGATTTTTAAGATGTATATTTTGTGAAAATGTTTTTCCACATTCTGTACAACGAAATGGCTTTTCTCCAGTATGAGTGCTAAGATGATTTTTCAAATGAACATTCTGAGCAAATGTCTTACCACATAAATTACAACCATACGGCTTCTCCCCAGTATGCGTGCTGAGATGGTTCTTTAAATGTATATTCTGCGCAAAACATTTGCCACACTCAGAACAGCTAAAGGGTTTCAAGTGTGTATGAGTGATTAGATGATTTTTAAGATGTACAGTCTGAGCAAAAGTTTTGCCACATTCCTTACAATGATAGGGCCGTTCCCCTGTATGAGTTCGCATGTGTGAAATAAGGTGCTGTTTTTGTACAAAGTGCTTTCCACATTCCAGACAGACAAATCTCTTTTTTAAAATGTGGGATTTCAATTGTGTGCTATAACTGGATCCAAGGGAATAATCACCAGAAGAAAACTCCCTGTCATATTTCATACTGTATGACATACTTCTGTGGAATAAATGTAAATTATCTGTAAGGGTTTTTGAAACATCCTCTATGCCTTCCTTAAGTGGTGATTCAGCCATTGCAGTGGAACTTATATCTTGACCTTGTTCTGTTAATGAACATATTGCAGTTGGAAACCTGTCAAGATAACATATTTGGTTTAAATACATTCTGGAAACCTCCAAACTTTATGAATAAACATCAATATACATTTAAGAATGTCCACAGCAACTTATTTCAAAGCACTAGAGAAACTTGCAATATGTATGAAACTCATCTATCTACAATAAAAGAAGTCTGTTCTAGATGACTTGTATGCAATTCTCATTTCAGATTACAACACTATGGTATTGTATGAAATCACTTAATTCACATTTTAACAATAGTGTAAATGAAGTGTCTAATTTTCAATCCACATAATTCACATTTTAACAATAGTGTAAATAAAGTGTCTAATTTTCAATCCAAAATAAAAAGGGTGCCCTGCAAAATATCTTAAACATTTTAAGACATACACTGGGCCAAATGTTAAACCTACGGTTTTAATTATTCAAACAGTATCCAAAAAATATCCAGAAGTGTAACTGCAGTGAGACTGTAAACAACAGTATTATGAAAGACTGAATTAGCACTCTTAAATGAGAGTATCATGTTTATGTGGTATGTGTCTTTTGGGTTATGATGCTGTGTGTGGTATTGTAGGTGGTTATCAACATTCTGGAGGATCAGTATCATAAGTCTTTATAGCAAAAGCCTGCAATAAATTTCCATCCAGGATGAGTATAGGAAATAAGTAATAAATTATAAAGTGTAGTGTCTTTCTGCCTTGTCATTAACATAGCATCAAAAAACAGTTACAAATAAATAAATTACATCCAAAATCTTACACTTGTTCCATTCCACCTTCAGCATTGTTTTCATCTGACTGACAATCTGCCAATTCGGCTTTCACTCTTACAAGTGCCCAGACATCTGGAGTGTCTTCTGCTGGATTTAAAGAATTTTGGGATACATTTACTTTTCCCTGGAAAGGCAAATCAGCATTTATATTCACTATACAGAATATTACACTTCCATTATATGCAAGAATAAATTGCTATTTAAAATAAGGATTAGATATGACCTAATCTAATATTTAATTAACTAATACAATAATTTCAATTTCTTCTATTTATTAAACAGTCTACTGATAAAACCCTGAACTCATTAAACCTTCATTTTTATCCAATACTTTTCCTTGTACTTGTATATCACAGGAGTAATGCTAATATGGTTGCATGCTATTAAATTAAAGTATGAACAGTTAAATAAAAGTAATTAAATTATTGGACTGATAAATTTATGTGAATTAAGGTTGCTACCTCAGAAAATTCTGAACTTAATCTCTGATTTTTCAGTAACTCCCGGAAAGTTGCATCAGAGATTTCACACTGCCTTTTAAAATTGTAGGACACATTAACTTGATTTACGCACTGTCGACAAACATGAGTTGGAAGACCATCATATGCATCCACCTGAAAAGGAAAGATAAATTATGGTACTGTACTGAGGGTTATGAAGATGAAATGCCATGCTACTACTCACTGCAGAGCTAGAGGCAGGTGGCTGTATGGCATTATTCTTCAGCCATCTTAAAATCCAGGAAAGGTGAGGAATGCCAAAAATGTTTTAAAAGTGGAAGACAGGAGAGAGGGCATACACTGAAGGACAGGATGTTAAAGTTACAGATTTATGCCAAAAATGTTTTAAAAGTGGAAGACAGGTGAGAGGGGCATACACTGAAGGAGAGGATGTTAAAGTTACAGATTTATGTGCATAAACACATACACACCTCTGAAATGTTGGTAAACTTCTACCAGACTACATGGCGCAACAACCTAGAACACAGCCATCTCCTTGTTTATTCTTGCTTCTCAATTAGTTATTAATACAAAGGTTGATATCCTGTCTACTTCTTATACTTACTGATCTAATTTTATGGTTCTATTCTTGCATGGTGGTTTATTTCAAATATATAATTCAGTCTGTACTGCCATTAATGTGTCATATGTATTTCTGATATTAGTTACTAACTGTAGTAACATCTGTATCATATCTTAAATTGAAAGTATGTTGACAAATATCCTCCATTTTTGTGTTGTACCATAACCCTTTATTACATATTTACAAGTATCTACCTTAATATGTTAGCACTACTAGCCCTTTCTCTCTTCCCATTTAATGAATAGTACCACAGTAACAGCTCCTCTTTAAAATGATAACTGTAGAGCAATACTGATCAAAGAAGTTTCACAATGTACTTACAGATAATATATATGGTTTTTGCCCAGATTCTTAACGTTTTATGGCCCACTGCTGAAAGTACTACAGTATAAAGCATTTTAATATGATGTAATAGGTAAAAAACAATGATGGATCAAAATATGAGCACAAAAAGGGTAGATACTTGCATGCACTTACTGGTGCAAGTGAGATGATCATAAGCAACTTAAACTTTTGTAGACAACCTCTGTACTTTCAACATATTTAATGAAACTGGTCCGTTATGTATCTACAATAAAAGTATACTTATTTTTTCTTATTTCAGCATACACACACACACACACACACACACACACACTTGCAACAAATACAAAAATTCATCTACCTTAACACCTGGTGCCAAACTCATTATTTTGCAGCGTAAAGGTGTAACTTGGTCATTAACCTCTGTATCAATGAAGAGGGAAAGTAATGTAGACTTCTCTTGCATACAAAGTCGACATACATTCGCAAAATTCAGTGGCATATTGAAAAATGGAATGGACATAATTCTACTCTCCAGGACTTGGACCTGTTCTTAATGATTTGGCCTGTTCATTACATCTACCAATTTTAAATTAAATTCTTAAATTCATATAACATTCATAAAACGTTATTTTCGTTAGGTACAAGTTCGCTTCAGGAAACGAATATTCCGGCACGTATATGAGCTGAAAAGTTATGAAATTGTCTTCTATTTGTACTCATATGGCATTCACAGTGTTCCTTAAATGATTTAACCTAAAGGCTGATATTTATGAATTGAAATTATTATAAATTGTTACGTCTGGCAAGAAGAGTATATTACCACTCCCACCAACATAGTAAAATTGCACATATGCATTTCCTACCCCATTAAAAACAAATACAATGCAATTCACAGTCAGCTAGAGCGTAGGTATGACATGATCAGACCAACAACAAGAATAATTATGAGCGAGTGCCTATGTATCAATCGTATCAAGTGGGACGTACATAGCCTTTCAGCTTATACAATTTTACGATCTTTTAGATTAAAAGATTCTCATTTTAATATATACATAGTAATAAGAAATTTAAATCTGCATAAAGTTTTCACTCTTTGGCCACACGACACATTATGGGATAATACTGTTATCCGATACAATTTAAAGAACAGGATCACAGTATTTTTGGTTGTCTGAGATAATCGGCTTCCTGTACCACATAACAGTAATAGGTTTATACCTTCCTTCTGCTTTATGTATATACACCAAGATTTTGCTCCACATAACAGTAATAGGTTTATACCTTTCTTCTGCTTTATGTACACCAAGATTTTGCGTAAGCTCAGGATGTTGCCTTACTGTTAATAGTAAACGTGTGGAAAGGAAGTGCTGTCAAACTCGAAAATAGAAACAAATATAAATCACCGATCTGTCTTTATAAATAGTGTTTACACTGCTCCTCGTTAACAGTCTTGTTTCTTCGTGGATTATACCTATGGCCTGCTCTGGTCATTTCAGCGTTTTATCACTTTTTGAATAAGTAGTTCAAATTTTAGACCCACTATATATGACTGGAACCAGAACCATTTAAATTCAGTTCACATTCCCAATCAGTTACTGTCCTATGCTCCATTCCTGGTTAAAGGATTTATTAAATTTGTATTTTTAAATAATATCAAGAAAATCTATGACTTCATAATCTCAAAGAAAGCTATATAACCCTCAATAGGAGCACAAACACAAGTACTGTTTCATGTCCCACTTTGACAGCTGTAATCCTTAACAAGGCAGAATATGTAGAGACTGTTGTCATTTTCAGAGTTTCATCATTTCTAACTAATGGCACACTTTCTTGCTTTAACATGCTATCTACTCCCCACAAATAAAAAGCTTTTTAGTAATACATGAAATCCATCCAATCTACAGATGTGTAATCAAACCCCAGTCATCCAGTTGATAGCCAGTCACAATATGTGATGCGAAAGAACTCTTAAATGTCTGTAGATGATATATTTAATGTCCTTACGGAAGCAGCATACAACTGAAAAATTCTTCACAAGTTCATGATCATGTGACACAAAAACTATCAATTTTATGTGTTGTGATCTGAATATTTGTAACATTTAGCAGTTTGGTCACCACCAAAATTGAACAAGTTGAAGTGAAATATTAACTGCCTCTACATTCAACAATTCAGTAATCCACTTAGCTCTTAAATATCAATTTCCCTTAATTATATCATACAGGAGTCTCTTTCTGAAGCTCCCTAAATTACACATTAAAAACAGAACATGTCTAAAACAACCTCTATCATGTATTGGAATGTCTGAATACGGAACCTGGATTTTTGGTTAATTTGTTCAAAGGGAACAAAAGAAAATAACAGGACATACTTTCTAATACTGTATAAATATATAACAAAATGCATGAGTATTGCTATTCTTTTACATTTCAATCTGAGCATTTTACAAAATGAGGCAAAAAAAACAACTTCATCACCAATTACCAAATTTTCCACAAGCATTTCTACATACAGTTTCTACTTCCAAAACTTACTACACTTTCACTGGTAAGAAAGCTGGAGACTCTTCACACTGTAGCTCATCTTGCAAACTGGAAAGAGGTAGAGATGTAGCAGCATGTACTAATGCTATATGTGTGTCTAGTGTTTCTGCTTGTGTAAAATTTCTTCCACACATAACACAATCGTATTGTGGCTTATTAGCCATATGCCTGGACACAATATGTGTCTTTAGATTGCCTTTATGACTGAAGTTCTTGCCACACACATGGCAAACAAACGGTTTCTCTGCAGTATGAGTCACTGAATGGGCCTTCGCATTGCCTCGTGTTGTGAACCGTTTCCCACAGACTTCACATACATATGGTCTCTCACCTGCACAGACAGAGCAGGCCTTGACATCAGTCACCAAACTAAAATACTATTTGCTAAAATGCACATCCTCTATTTCCTGTTGTGTGGAATATAATTTTGTTTATAAAATGATATTAAATGATCGCAGTCACATCAACTAGCCATAAAGAAAGTTTAAATATAAGATTATTTGTGATTAGTGATGTGATGCAGGGGGCTCTGAGACAGTCTCACAAGCCCCTTGTTAATTTGTTATTGGCAAAGAAAATATTAGATCATACAGGCTATACACCAGTATCAAAATATTGATATGCATACAACCAAATATTGGTACATATTTAAGAAAATATAGCTTGCAGGTGCAAGCAACTTGTTAACTGGCGGCACATCCATTTGCAATTCATAGGAAAAAGCATATAGGGACTGAATAAACCTTATGCAAATTAATTAAGTTTTATTAAATCTTTGGAATTAATTATATCATTCATTATTGTCTCTCTTTTTTAGAGTGGACCGCAACTCAGAATCAATATATGTTCTACCTGACTTAAGTCTGATTAATTCACAAATATGTCAGTCAGTATGACTTCAGCATGCAAAACAGGAGACCCCTCAACCGATTTTCAGCTCCAGCCCAACACCAAACAATTTCCATTAGTGTGGCCAGCTGAAACATTATCTTAATTGCAAATACTCTACACACAGAAGAGATATGAAAATAGATTTCTGACAACTGTTCCACCAGCAACTAAAGAACTTTCTAGTGGACACCAAGGCCCAGGTAGAGTGACAAGACACTGCTTCAATGAACGTGGTGATCATGGTAGACTTTCATTTATTTGCTCATTCATGTAGATTCTTTTGTACTTTGTAATTTACTGACTTCCTCTCACAAATAGTGGGACAAATACGGTCAACACTGAATGTATGCCCCAAATGGAAAGGAAATAAAACTGAACAGTACATGAAACAAATGTTGACATTAATAGCAACTACAAAATTTAGCGTTTGTTTCATAGAGATGCTTCACTCATTAAGCTTCTTTTTTATTTTACTGATAAACAAAGGGGAAATTCCAAATTCATGTTTAATTTGCGCCTGATTCTCAATGATTACAATGCATCATTTCAAATACACATCTGTAACATTTTCTCAAATCCAGATGTTGACACTGACATTCCCACAATGCAGCAAGAGAATTTCCATTGCAAGAATCATACATGAAATGAATATCTGCATACTCCACATTAGTAAATGTATGCATTTTAGTTACTGTCATTGTTCTTGTAACTGATAGTATCCTCAAAGTCTCAAAATTATGCTTCAACTACCTGTACTTCCATGAGCTGAGCCCCCTGCCAGTCACAATATTACATCAACATAAATCTCCCAAAACTTGGAAACGGTGGAAAACATTAAAAAATTATATTACCTGCTCCAAATGATACCGCCAACAACTTCCATAAAACTATATCAGAGCTTTGATTCATCCTGCATAGTAATTTAAAAGTACCTATCTGAAGTATCACTGTTATACTTTGTGTACCATCTACAGTTACTGCTCTACAGATCTACTTCACCTGAATGTATTAGTAAATGTGTCTTGAGATTTCCAAGAGTTGTAAATCCTTTTCCACACACTTGACATGGATGTGGCTTCTCAGCAGTATGGACCACAGAATGAGTTTTTAGGTTTCCCAAAGTAGTGAACCTTTTGCCACATTTCTCACATGAGTGTGGCTTCTGACCTGTGTGTATCATAATGTGTGTCTTCAAATTTCCAGGAGAACTGAAACTTTTTTCACATATTTCACAAATGTGAGGTTTCCGATTTCGATGTACCATCATATGATTCAAAAGTTGTTCCTTAATGCCGAAACCTTTCCCACATACTTGACAAATCAGTGGGATATGATTAGCATGTGCCATTGGTCCATAAACCATCTCCCCTTGCAATGAACCATGTCCATTCACAATATGGGATGAAGGCATGTTTCTGCCACTAAAATAGTTATTATAGTTTCTTGCATTTTCTGCTTGAGTATCCCATCTGTTCACTGTCTCCTTTCCAGTGAATGCCTTTACACTGTACCATGTGGAAGGACCAGAAAATGGAACTGATGAGAAATGGTATAAATTCTCTGTTGTGCACATTCTTTTCTGATACCTATAAAGAAAAAATTGTGAGGATCAGTATGCTTCAATAAAAAGAAGCATTTTGCAATTAACACACATCTATAACAATGCAGAGCTACATATGTTATGTTTATATAATACTGGAAATGTTTATAATATTAACAATAAATTTACAGCTATATCTACATGAAACATACTGCATTAAAACAATTATTAGCATCATTATACATAAAAGCTCTCCTGTTTAAATAAATTATTTATTCATCAAAGATGAACAGAACCAACAGTATCAATCATAAGCAGTTGCAGACTGATAACAAAGGGTGATCATGCAGTTTTCCAATGGGCAAGGGATTAACAACTAGCATGTAATAAAACATTTCAAATTGTCTTGGACTTGGTGGATTCTTGTCAACTCAGTAAAGAACATTTAGGTTCCATTAAAGGCAGAACATTTTTTAACTAACTAATCAACTAAAAGGTTCTTGAAAAGGACTCTACTCCACAGAGTTAAGTAGTTATTTGGTTAGTTTGTTAAACCAGAAGCATAATTCTGACTACTGCTGTAATACTGGCATACAACCCTTTCAATTTAACAACATTTATTAGTTGATGAAAGACTCTCGGGCTACAAGCCGTGTCAGGTGACTGAATGGTGAATATACCATATCCCCTGTTCCCATCGGCGAGCGTGCTACAGAGGACCAGTTTCCTACACAGGATGAGAGCAGAGATGGCTCTCGAAACATTGGCAGAAGCCATGGTGTATTCACCATTCAGCCACCTAACGCGGCTTGTAGCCTGAGAGTCTTTCATCAACTTCAGTCGCTGCAAAAGCTTCACTTTATACAACATTTATTAGACCAATTTCAAATAAAAGGAATCAGTTAACCTATACTGGTCATGTGACATGGCTTATGGGCAGTTCAGGTGGTCATGTGTCACAGCACCATTGTTAACTGTTAAAAACTGACCAATAACCTGATAGTATGGGGACTTAAAGTCCCCTATTCACAGATAACAACAATTAATATAGAAAAATACTTACATTTCATTTCTACAGAGAGATTCTGCAGGGTATTGTGGCACATTGCATTTATTACAATCAGATGTCTCATTGAAACCTCCACTACAGACATTGCCTTTTTCAGGTTCAACTTCCTCCTTAATATCATCCTAGAAGAATGAAATCATGTAACATTTTAACATAAATTGTTCCTGACCAAATAAAATATCATAACAACGAATTATTTGTAGCAAGTAGGATCTGAGGTGGTTCTCGTGGTTGTGAGTTTGAAGATGGCTGTTTACTGGGTTGTTGCACCATGTAGCATGGCAGAAGTTTACCAGTGTTTCAGAGGTCCTTGCTGCCTCCACCATCAGGTTGATGATGATGGAGGCAGCAGGCACCTCTGAAACACTAGTAAACTTCTACCATACTACATGGTGCAACAACCCAGAAGACAGTGATCTTCAAATATGCAACAAATAGTTACACATATTAGCAACTTTCAACCTACAGCATAACCAGTAATGGTAGGATATAAAGTCTACTAATGTGGTTTACAAAGATAAATTACCTCTAAACATGTGATATGATCACATTTTTAACAATCTGTAAGGATGCACAATCATGAAACAAACATAGATCATGATAAAGTGCAAAACAATCATATCATTTCATAAATGTTATCAACAGATTCAAATCTGCAGTGTCTTAATGTACATACAGAAGTAATATGCAGTTACTGATATATCCAAATACATGTTTCTTTTTCTTTCATAGTTATGGGTGCTTGAGACTAGACCGAAAAGTTGGTAAACTTCTACCAGACTACAGGGCACTAAAATCCAGAAGACAGCTATTTTCATGTCAAGGAATATTTAAAGAACTACATATATCATATCATATCATATATACATACATACATCAAATACATACTAAGTTTAAGATAGTCTTCTCAGTCATGTCTGGAAATGTTTGTTCCACACGTTGCAGATGCAATGGCTGTGACGATGGCCAAGCTTGAGGTATCATGTTGAAGTTATTAGGCATAGCAGGATATGAGTAATCCACTGACAAAGAATGAGGTTCCTCTTTAATGTATACTGTTGGTTCCAGATGTTTAGGGGAAATACTTTCAGCATGATCTTCCTCCTTTGAAATCTGTCTGCCACATGGGGCTCCAGAGCCTAGCTCCTGCCAAGAAAGATCTTAAAATGTCAATTTCAGCTGCTTTTCTTTAATGACAGAGATATCTTCCCACTCAGACTGTTAGTTTCAATGTATTGCACTGACAACTGTATAACTTCACTATATCAACACTTAAACACAGTAGATTCCTGATTATCTGGTGGTGGATTAACTGGGGTCTACCTGGTTTAGACAAACATTAAAAAATTATTCAGAAAATCTGTTGTAAAAGAACAAAAAACAAAGAGAAGGGAATAAATATTACAATGTCATGTCATTTAAGACATTAACATAAATCAAATGTTTCTAAAACCTGAAATTTATGACAGTAGAACATTATTACTATCCGTTATAATTCATTTTAAAAAATAGTTGACATGTACCTTGATAAATTTTATGTAAAATCCTTTATGTTATCAGAAAATCTTTAAGAATTTGAGTAGTGTTATGTCTGTAAATAAACATACATGCTCTAAACATGTGATATGATCACATTTTTAACAATCTGTAAGGATGCACAATCATGAAACAAACATAGATCATGATAAAGTGCAAAACAATCATATCATTTCATAAATGTTATCAACAGATTCAAATCTGCAGTGTCTTAATGTACATACAGAAGTAATATGCAGTTACTGATATATCCAAATACATGTTTCTTTTTCTTTCATAGTTATGGGTGCTTGAGACTAGACCGAAAAGTTGGTAAACTTCTACCAGACTACAGGGCACTAAAATCCAGAAGACAGCTATTTTCATGTCAAGGAATATTTAAAGAACTACATATATCATATCATATCATATATACATACATACATCAAATACATACTAAGTTTAAGATAGTCTTCTCAGTCATGTCTGGAAATGTTTGTTCCACACGTTGCAGATGCAATGGCTGTGACGATGGCCAAGCTTGAGGTATCATGTTGAAGTTATTAGGCATAGCAGGATATGAGTAATCCACTGACAAAGAATGAGGTTCCTCTTTAATGTATACTGTTGGTTCCAGATGTTTAGGGGAAATACTTTCAGCATGATCTTCCTCCTTTGAAATCTGTCTGCCACATGGGGCTCCAGAGCCTAGCTCCTGCCAAGAAAGATCTTAAAATGTCAATTTCAGCTGCTTTTCTTTAATGACAGAGATATCTTCCCACTCAGACTGTTAGTTTCAATGTATTGCACTGACAACTGTATAACTTCACTATATCAACACTTAAACACAGTAGATTCCTGATTATCTGGTGGTGGATTAACTGGGGTCTACCTGGTTTAGACAAACATTAAAAAATTATTCAGAAAATCTGTTGTAAAAGAACAAAAAACAAAGAGAAGGGAATAAATATTACAATGTCATGTCATTTAAGACATTAACATAAATCAAATGTTTCTAAAACCTGAGATTTATGACAGTAGAACATTATTACTATCCGTTATAATTCATTTTAAAAAATAGTTGACATGTACCTTGATAAATTTTATGTAAAATCCTTTATGTTATCAGCAAATCTTTAAGAATTTGAGTAGTGTTATGTCTGTAAATAAACATACATGTTTATTGTATTTGCATGTTTTTCTTTAGTTTTTGCAGATTACCCACAGTTTCAATTATCCATGAAAATATATTTCTCAACCAATTCAGATAATTGGGAGTCTACTGTAGCTTAATTACCGTACAAGGATGCAGCAAACCTGTACTTCATTTCAGGCAGGTATTCTGAGTAGTAAAAACATTATGCCAATGGATTATACACAGTTTAGTTCTTAAAATATGACTAGAACAGGTAGGCAGGCAGTAAATATATATAGTAATAAGCTGTAATTTCTTGGGATGCTTGTTAACTAGATTTCATCAGCTGTGAGCTTCCTTTTAATTCCTGCAACCAAGGTGAGACATACTTCTAACAAGAACAGTTCCTGGCTAAACATTTTAACAAATGAAAGAAAGTGCATGATAAATGTGCTTGTCAGGTTCATTGGCAGTATTCAATATCACCTACTGTATAACATTTAATGCTAGACAATGTCAGGCGTTGACACAGCATCTTAGAGCAAACAAATACAGAAACTAAGATTTTATATGCGGCAGATTGTACAAAAAGCAGAGAGAAAACATCCAGTACCAATAATAAGAACATCAGACAAATACAAGAAATTATATCAGGCCTGATGTGAATACAAATAAATCTCTCCATTGACTGTTGCAAGGAACTGTGTTTCTAAAGCATGCGTTCAACACAACGCAAAAATCCTCAAATTAACCTGCACATAAAATCAGTGATGCACAGTCTAGGTCTTTCACTACCAGATTTCTCAATATCAGCTAAACGTCCCCCATCAAGTTCAGCAAAATATTACAATAATTAGTATCACATTCACATTAAAACTTTGTATTTTGGCATCATGTTCTAACAGGTAATGGCAGAGAATCTGTCAGTCAAAATTCAAATATCTGTCATTTCACAGAGACTTTAAACGTATTAGTTTAAAAAGCCACAAATACCAGGATTTACTGCAGTAATTATCTCTCCAAAACAAGCTATAAAAGATGTGTGGGAAATATTTTGATTCATCCTCAGTCAGTTGTGTCATAACATGAGAGACATTAGTATGTCAAAGATAGCAATCTGAAATATGACTATGTAAAGGTTAAGATTCAATAATACAATATAGAGAACAGTTATTACATTCTCCATTTAACACTTTTGTGGCAACTGAATGCAATGGACTATGCGAGGATAGAGTTAACATCCAATGCTTCATAGAGACACAAGTATATGAAATACAGCAATCTGAATTGTGGCTATAAAAGGGTTCAGATTCAAGAAAACAATACAGAGAACAGTCAGTACACAGAAAATCACAGACTTTTGCTATGAAACAGGTATGATTATAAAATAAACATACTGCTTTTGGTAATTATTTGCACAATGGAAAACAAGTATGCTGGGATTGCAGACAGAGAGAGAGAGATGTCATTGCTGAAAACAGCAACTCTAGTTCAACAACACTCACTGCGAGTTCTTGTTGTAAGAGGAGGAGCGCCATGTTAAGCGGTTGCTGTTCCAAGTCCTGTTGAACACTGAAATTCCAAGGAGTACTCATGGCCAGTGCTGCATATGATCAGCATAGATGTGGCTGATGGCTCTTTTGATAAAAACTAACTCTAGAAGGAATAAATAAAATGGAGAACTATTCCATGATTTAAAATGTTGCATTCACAATTATATGTGACTCCAATTTCTCAATTTTACAAATCATATAGTACAAATTACATGTTAATAAATATGTTAACATAAAAAATCTAAAATGCACTCTTCTTGAATAATCACTTACACATTCTGTTAAATTATGTAAAACATTATGTTTTCAGGTACTGGTCTAATAGAGCTTCACATATTCCATGCTTTTGTGTTCAAACAATATGATTGTTACCTCTGATCTGCAGATCTCTGAAATCTCACCACTACATTAATATCAGGCATTGCCTGTCTTTCACGAGGTCAAATCTGTACATTTTTATTCTTTTTGAAGGTAAATTTTCACTGTGCAAATGATTCTCCATAATTTTCTAGCTCATTATAGGCTTCAAATATTTAACTTCCAAGAATAGTTGCAAAAACCATTAACTTTATAATTCTCATGCTGCTTTAGATAATATATGGTATGCACATGCTATCATCATTCTATCTTGGATCAATGTAATATATATTAATACGTATAAAAATAACAAAGATAATAAAGTCAGTGAGTGATGCTCTTCCCTCTACAGAACATATGGTTAGAACATGTATATACTGATCCACATGTTAACTGATATATACATACCTTGTAAACAAGTTTTGGAGATAAGTTATGAATTCATGACAACATGAAGCTGTATTTTATGTATTGGCCAGATCATGTTCAACTCCTCCATGATTCTTGAATATTGGAAGGGCATAGCTCATTCCCTTCATATTGGGTAGCTGAGTATCAATAAAGCCACATGGCAAAGGCTTTGTGGGGATCATTGTGTCAGTAAAATGTAATGAACAGGTCCATATAGTAGTTGCTTAGTATTGTATCAGTTACCCATATATGATACTATGGTATTTTATTCACACAGTACTGTGCCTTGCTTACAGTAACTTATTTAAAATAATTATCAATTTCACATGAGATACAAATAAATAGGCTACTGTTAATTTAATGAGAGAAAGTTAATCACAGTGAATTAAATTGGAGGAGCCACAGAAATAATGAAGCATGTTCATATTCATCAAATAACAACAAAGAGCATACAAACTCTGAAACAAAACAAAATCTCATTATTTATTAATTCAATTCTTGACAAACCTGAGACTGTCAACAAGAAAGATGGTTTGTTTATGTTTAACATAATAAGTTCGTTTAATACAGAGAATCACAACCTTTTTTGTTAATTTCAGTAACTGTTACAGGGTCTGGGTTTGGTGTGCTACAATTTACGACATTGTACGAATTATTGGTCGGTGGTTGCATTCTCTACAACTGTGTTGATATTTCATGACTGATCGTTAATATTTTATTCGTACCAATCATGTTCAGAGTAAGAAGTAGTGTAGCACACAAACAATCATCACGTTTCTACACTCAAACCATTGCGCAAAATAATAACAATAATAACAACAAAATTACAATAGCACACGCAATACACTTGCCTAATAATAATAATAAATTCAGGTTATGGGAATATCACTGCATATTAGATAATACAATCGTAGGTTATACGGAAAGAAGTACGAACTGGTTTTAAAATGTGTGTTTTATTTCATGAAAATTTATGCCATCTGTTTTAAAATGCTATCCATTATTCATACTTGAAAGAATTTTATGATCCCGTGGCTGTTGCATTAGCTTCAACCTTAAAACCTGAGAATAAAGGTAAACTGTATTAGACTACTCCAGCATGGCCCACTGAAAATTGTTCGTAACATGTTCTTTAGCATTATTTATCACCTCATGTCAGAGGAACATATATTGAAAGCGTTTTGTTATCAGAGTTTGAGAAGAATATTTGACCCTAAGAGAGGATTGATAGGATTAAGAAAAATTGTGCTTCATATGTTCTACTTTCTTGTCTGTTAGGTTTCACCTCAAGGTGAATGAGACTGGGGAGACATGTAGGATCCATGGAAGAATTCAATAAGAAATTGGTCAGGACATTTGTATGAAGAGACCACTCCAAACATCTGTTGTACATAGGTGGATCTTAAAATGAACTGGATAGAAAAAGGGTGTGGTGTTCACTGGATTCAGCTGGCTGAAGATATGGGTCCTCTGATGGGCCTTTGTCAACACACTAATGAATATTGAGGTTCCACATAAACAAGAGATTTCTTGCCTGCTATGACCTGTTCAGCGAGGACTGTCTCGTGGAGTTACATCATTCTGACATTTTAAACTTCTTATAAATCTATAAATCTAATAAAAATTGACTGTACTCAAACAATTAAAGAGAACTACCTGAAGAGGACCAGTTAAGGTCAAAACATTAAATAAATCTTAATGAATATTCAAAATATAATAAAAAATTGTTGTGTAGATGGACTGTCTACAACTAATGATCAACCCACAACAGGATGCATCCATTAAAACTCAAAATAGGAACATTTCAGGACCAGTGCATATTTAAATTTTTTACTAGTTTATTGCCATATAACATTTCCTCAAATTCATGAAAGACAATGGTGAATAATTTTGTTTTTCCCTATTGATTAGGTTTGTATCAAACAGCGCCCAAGCTCTGCAGAGCAATAGATTTATGAAATAAACATTTGACATACAATAAAACAGCGGTCAACATAGATAGCTTTTTACACTATAAAACCTATTGTAATTACATAGTTTCTTCTTTTCATGCAACTGATTATATTCATAAATTATATACAGATGATGTGACTTTCATACAGTTCTATAAATGATGCTGTTCTCTCATTCATTACACCTTATAGAGAATAATAAATAATACAATTAAAGCACAAGTTGTACATAGAAATGCAGTGGTCCATATTCATTTTAAAATAAATAGGAACTCGTGAAAGTATACTATAATTTTGTATCTTTATTGTTATATAATTCTTTCAATTATTTGTAAAAAGGGTATGCACCTATTAAACCCAAACTTTATTACTTACAAAGGAAAACTTTCTAGTATGCAGAATTTACTTGGAAACAGAACCTTCTGCTGACAGATCCCACAAATTATCTGACCAAGCAAAATACATTCAGCTTTCCCAGCATAAGGAGTTTGCTGTACCATTTTTGCCTGCAAAGAATGTCACATACAGATAAAGAGTGGCTTTGATTTGTATTAAAATATATTGGAAAAAAGACTGTAAACAAATAGAGCTTTTAAAACCTTTATAACTTAACTCAAATAAAAACATAATAATATTAGCCTTTAATGCCTGTTTATCACACTTCATGCATTGTCCAGTTGGCCTTGCATCACAGTAGCATACTGCTAAACCATTAACCAGATTTATAGCCTGACCAGCAGCCCTGCAATACAGGGATTTAAATTCCATATTTCCCTACTACATAGGTTACAGAAAATTGATTTGACAACAAACATATTTCTTTCATGTAACAACAGCTCAATTATTAAAGTATAAATTCAAAAATCAAGGTATAAATGAGTAATTATATCATTTCTGAAGTTAAATTGATAAGTCTGTGTCATATTCTTGAGTCTAAATCTATAATAAATAATGCTAATATATCTCATGCTATAAAAATAATTTATAAAGGATCGCAATTGTTGTCTCACTATGCATTCATTTTTGGCTAGTGTAGGAGCCATGTGATTGCAACACAAGTGCATGTATTTCATTTAGCTTGTTTTGTGTTTCCTTGCTGGCTTTAACAAAGTGTTCAAATTTCAGTTTCAGCTCCTTCAATTCCTTGTTCATGTCTAGCTGACATTTTTCTATATCTGATAATTTGTTTTGCAGCTGTTTTTCACTTTTGTTTGCATTTTCTTGCGATGTCTTCTTTCTGTTACTAACAAGAGAAATTGCTTGTTGTACTATTTCCTCGTCTAGGAATGTATTCTCCACAATAATTCCATTTACTTCCACCCTACCTTCCTTTCTGTTTGGAAATACTCTTAACTTTTTATCAGAAAGATTTTTAAGTACAGAAAAGAACTGAATACGCCCAGAGCTTGTTTTTTCAATGTACGATATTAGTTTCACTCGGGCACTTAAACTCAGAATCTCAGCATCATTTCTTATAGCCTGAGCATCACTAACAGCTAGACCATTTAGAAGGTTCAGAAGAACAATTGAAATCAAGAATACAAATACAGTGAAGACCAAGTGACTTGTGTATGGAGCCACTTCAAATGGAATATCAGATGCCTCAAATTCCCCAGCGAACATTATAAAAGTTTTTAGCATAGACATTCCAAGGCTCGAGGAGAAAAATTCATCCTCACTAGAACCACTATTTCGAAACATGGTGTAGAAACTTATGCCAAATGCAAAGAAGAGTGGGCAGTAACATACCATGGATGTTAAGAAAGTCCATGCAACAGTCTTCAACATTTCTAGGTGAATGGAAAGAACAGGAAAACCTCCTAAGAATGAAACAAACTGAGTCCATGCTAGTAGAAGAGAGATAGCTGTGCACTCTGGAAATATATTAATTACATTATCTAGACAGACATTTAGAGTTGTTGCAATAATTATCCAAAGTATGAAATTCTGAGTGTGTTTTAGGTAAGCTTTAGGGGACATAAGGAATTGAAAAGTCTCCCTTAAAACAAGGATCACTAGGAGGGTGGACAGAAGCACAAGTGCTGCCATGTGTTCATTGCTGTCATCATGGTGGTTATTTCCAGTTTGTTTTAGGCTTTCACTGTTAGTTCTAGTTTCATTCTCGCTACCTTCATTAGATTCATTGTTATTTCCACTTGTGAGGAAACTGTACCAGGTTAGGACTAAAAGAAACAGAGAATAAAACACAACATTTGTAAAGAACATAAAACGTATTTTCCTCCACTTGAGTGTCAGAAAGCTTGTTATTACTGGGTGTTTCAGCAAATGTTTAAACTGATGCTTGTTCGCAAGATACCATAATGGTGGCATCTCTGATTCACAATATTGCTGCTTCTCTCCAATTTTCTTTTGATCACTGCCATTTATTGGATTTAAAAAATTATAATTAAAGATAAGCATATAATCTTTCTGTACAGAAGACTCATCACTGCTGTCTATGCACTCATCCAGGATATGCTCCATCACAGTGGGTTCAATGTACTTCAAAGGAGGGCCAACCCCTGACATTTTGTGCATCACATTCGCACCATGTCTCAGAAGTGTCAGGACTGTCTGCCCGTCTCCCATGCGAGCTGCTATATGTAGTGCTGTTTCCCCAGCTGATGTGACAGCATGAATATCAGCCTTTGGAGTTGTATTATTTACTGGGTCTGATTCTCCAAGTAATAAACAAATAGACTTCTGAAGGAAATCTGATTCAGCCTTATTTCTGCACTGAACTCCAGCAAGACAGTGCAAAGGCGTACGTCCATATGAATCCTTCACATTGATATTTATTTCTTGTTCGCGCAACAAAATTTGTAACAATTTTGTATTTCCTCTTTTTGCTGTCAAATGGAGCAGAGGCTGAGATGTACGTGAATTGACAGTGTTTGGGTTTGCGCCTACTTTTAGCAGTTCTTTCACAAAGTCTTCTCTGTTCTTCAGTTGGCTGGCAATTTCTATAATTGTGCAGTGGTATGGTTCATCATACCAGTGAGTTAGATTCACAGAATGGCTCTGAAGCAGTGACTGAAATCTATTGAAATCTCCCTTCTGAAGTGATGCCAGAAGTCGACTGGCAGCAATAGGAGGATCTAGTTTTTCTTGAAGTGGTGCAGGAAGGTCTGGCAATAATTCTGGAAATGTATATTGAATAGCTTCTCTGATTGATCTTCCATAATAGCTGGCCAGGAATGTGTCCAAATTTAGAAAACATCCTCGTTTGTGTCTCAACATTGCCTGGGCCATGTCCTTCCGTGAAGACATGATGGTGCGGCTTAGTGCTGTAAGACCATCCTTATCAGGTCTGTTTATCTCAAGATCAGATCTGTCCATCAACAAGGAAATGCAACTTAAGAACCTCTCCTTAGAGACTTCTCCCAGAAGAGATGAAGTCCCTGAAAATGAAAGAAATTCTAAATTAAGAGGAATGCCTGCTTTGTATACTCCAATGAGCATAATTTTACACAACTATTATTACATGTATTTGACTTTTTATCTAAATGCTAATACCAAAGCTTACAACTGGACATGGAAACAAAAGTTAGTACCATTCACTTTCAATCTTCACAACCTAACCTTCCTAAGATCCTGTCTCTGTCTCTGAAGTAGACATTTTCCAACAGGTTACCCCATACAAATTTTATATAAATTGCTTTGTCTCCCTCATCCCAGCATTTTCTAGCAATACTAGGTAATGCATAAATCACAAAGTTCCCATTGTATAAAATTTTAATGCGGGTTCAGAGCAGTTAAATTTCTCAAGCATATTTGGAGACTGAAAACATATCAAATTAAAAATACAGTCTGAATTCTGTTTCTATATTTGTTGTCTGTTTCTAATAAAAACTTGACTTTATGCATTTATTTTCACAGTGTAAAGCCAAAATAATGACTGCCACCAACTTTAAGAAACTTTTTCACTAATGCTGGTCAGTCTCAACTACTCTACTGGTCCATCTGTTCAGCAGATTCTCAGTCACAGACAAGGACTCAGACCAGTATTCTGTTTAATAAACTGATTAGTAAATAAAGATATTTTGAATGCTGAACAGTGAATTCTAAACATTCATCTCCAAACTGATTACAAATATTGACATTACAAATTAATATGCATCTATTTCACTGAAAAGCTGGGCAATACTGCAGAATATCTAACATACTCTGCAGCTATGATATAGTTGGTTAATGTGAAATAAATGCTACACCAACATGTAAGACATTTTGCAAACCTGCAACATGCAGTGCAGTGCATCCAGCTTCATCAACAGCATTCACATCCACTTTGGACATTTCCAGAAGCACCTTCATAATTTCACAGTTCCCTTTTAATGCAGCTAAATGCAAGGCTGTCTGTCCTTTCTTCTCTGCAGTGTCCACACTGGTCCGTGGGTCTTCCAACAGAACCCTTAATGACATAGAATGAAATGTTTCGAGTGTCCTTAATCTCAACCATGATATATATGATTGAATAAATGTGAAGAGAGACTAAACTGGTAGTTAGAATAAAGATAATTATGTTCTTTGAAAGCAGGAAGCTGTAACATGATTAAATGTACTCCCATTTGATATCCAAATCTGTACAAATTAAAACAGTATGTTCACATTTGATTACCAAGAATCTAATAAAACTGGAATATTCAAACACATACATATGGCAAAGTTCAAAAGCTAAAAATGGATCTTCATTTTTTAGACACCATGAATCATTGCTACTGACCACAGGCCTAAGACACTCACAGTTGATCCACTTACACACTGAGGTACCAGATTTGAATTCTGCTAAAGTCATAGATATGTGCCAGCATTTTCTGCATTGCTGTTTCCTTTGTAGGTAGAAGATGATCTTTCATCTTGAGTACTATAAATGTCTAATAGATTTTATGAATCTACCCCTCTACACTGAAAAGCAGTGGTGTAGTGGTAAATACTTTTCATTCATATTCCAGGAATCCTGAATCTGAACAGTGACCCAGATAGTGGCTATCCTGATTAAGGTGTTTCATAGCTTTCCTCAGTCCATCCAAGAAAATTACAGTATAGTACCCTGTAACTGGCCAAGACTACTTCCTTCCATTCATATCAACTGATCTGATTATTCTCTCTTCAATAAAATGACTAGATATAAGGAAGGCTATAGAGATTTATAATTTAAGTGCAATTTCAATAACAAGAAATCAGTGACTCTCATTTATAAAATTGGTGGAACAACAGGTATGTGAGCATGAAAACACCATTCTAGAGAAGATTCAATTGGTACTCAAGGAATAAACGGTTAAAATTAATTTGGAGCCAGAGAAAGTTTAAAAATAATCCCTGGCCAATAGAAATGATGATTACAAATTGTATTAAGACTAATATAATGCAGTTAATAATAAAGTTGCTAAATTTACTACCTCATTACTTCCACATTGCCCCCATACGCAGCAGAATGCACTGGACCCCACTGACCCAAATCACAATTGGGATCTGCCCCAGCATCCAAGAGATTCCTGACAAGTTGTGGTAATCCTAGGGAGCAGGACAACACAAGAGACTTAGACAACATTGTCTTCATCTCACGTGGAGATGACACTTTTCTTGTTATTCTCCAGAAAGGATTTCTGTAGGAACCCACAGGAAGATTCCATTCTTTACGAGCATGTGGACCCATGATGTCGCTTATAACTACTGCAACACTTTCACCAGACCATGCTGTTTTTGCTGCCTCTTGCACCTGCAACAACAGTTATTCAAGTCTGCAAGTTATACATTTTAATTAGATTGACATTTCATATCAAGCACCAATCTCATGTTTGACAAGTTATTCCAAAGACATTTAATACATTTCAGTTTGAGACTCATGTGAAGTAAGTTTTATTTTATCAGTATGGAAGATACAACTTGTAATTTGCAATCAACACTAATATTGATCAAGGGATGTCAAATAATTCTGAAGACCAAATGTGCAGACAGATAATTATGACATCCCTAAAATTTGTCCATCTTATGCACTACATGGAACAACACAGAAGAACTTGATATAGTATTATCAAATTATAGAAGCCTTGTTTGCTCCTGTGTATCCGTGAGTGGAATGTCTTGAACATTTCTAGTTATTTCTTTTAAGATTCTTCAATTTCTACAACACATCCACTGGAAAATTTATTTTTATCTTTTTCAGACTTAAAATTATTTGGCATTACTGCCTATACAGTTAATTGTGAGAAATTGTTGAATTACATTCTGCAAAATATAGTTTATTCACAAAGAACAGCTTCTAGCAGGTCATTCTCTGATTTTGAAATTATAATCTGGTCAACAGCATATAAAATATTAAGTTAGTACAATAGATTTCTGCTGTCTCACCTAATAAACACTGAATAATGATAGAAATATTCAAAACAACCCAGAAGACAGAAGTCTTCCACCTAATAAACACTGAATAATGATAGAGATATTCAAAACAACCCAGAAAAATAATTTACTTCCAAATTTGTAGAATTTTATCTCTTGTGAATGGTCCCAACAAGAGCAGATTAATTGTGCGTAAGACTCATGCAGATGTAATTTACATGCACTCACCCTCTTATGTAGGGGTGTCATGACTCTCTCCTCCATTACCACAGTTCTGTCATCCTGAGAGGCAGGACAAACACGGACGCAAGTATTTTCCATGCCCCTGATCCTGTCACACTCCTTTCGTTTATCTGGCATGATATCTGATTGGTATCTTCAAGAATAGGATCAATTACTGGGGACTGCAAATGTGAAAATATTCATGAAAGAAAAGCCAGTAACAAACACATTTACAAATTACTTCAACACAAGAGCCCCAGTCCAAAGCGTACCACCAAATCCCTCAGGATGAATACTTGAACTGTTTCTTCTGAATACATACATACATACATCTTTATTACATTCCATGGATCCATAAGTTAGTCAGATGACAATAGGATGTAGAATAAGTCATAATAATACAATACATGTTATACAAATACAAGTCATATAAATGTCACAAAAATACAAACAAAGGATAAATTACGACTTACTTGTAGACATTAGGAATTCATCGACATCCTGTCACTCATTAACTCACAGAACACCAGAAGAATATTGCAAATTAAATTTTATTAAGTGAAACAAATATTTACAAGACTTGTGAGATTTGATGGTAGACTGTTGAAAATTTTGATCCCTGCATAATATGCACTCTTCTGAAAACATGAGAGGTTGGCAATTGGTCTATGAAGCTGATTTTTATTCCTTGTGTTGACAGGATGTATGAGACACTTGATCCAAGTAAATTATTTTGCATAGAATAACCTGTCTCCAGTACCCCTCACCTCCCTCCTGCGGCCATAATTTTAAAGTTTATTAATCACCGACAACTTAGTTATTTGTTAACTTCCTGGTTGGCTCCTCTTCAAATTACTTAATTACAGCCTAGGAAGTTACATATTTCCCAAAGCTTCACTTGTGATAAATGTCCGCACACATTTAATTCGATAATATATGAAAAGATTTTCAGGTGGGGTTACAGATCTTATAAGTTGAAATGGTTAGACAGAAATTAATTAAATTTGGTGTGCATGTTATGCTGTAGTTAAGTACTGGAATTTCGTATATTCCAACTTCATTCATTAATACCACAGTGAGGCATGCTCAAATTGAAAAGGCAGTATAATGATAATGTCATCAGAAGTTATCCACTGCACGTGCATATTGACGACCTTAACTGATATCTTATGTGGTAACTGTCTGCATGTATTTAATACTAAATAGTGAATCTAAGGCTTGTCATTTATTAGGAATGGACTAAATTAGGCTTTAAAGGAGAAGAGACCGTTACAAACAACGGGGCATGAAAATGTCAATATTAGTTTCGTGTAAGTTATAACGTATCCCAGAGAGTCACCTCCCTTTGATCTAAATATGAAGGATACAACTTAATAAAAATAATTTAGTCCATGGATTCGCACTGTGTCCTGCCAATGTGCTTCCGTTCGTTCACAATTTCTGTTACCTCACAGAATACAAATGACCTTGTGTAGTGATAATGCCGAGGTCAATATGGAATGAGGTTCTGCGATTGCGCAGTTGTTTGCTTCCTTGGTCATCTGCGCGCATCTTTAAATCTACCATTGACTACAGTCGCGACGCCTATCGCCGCGGAGCGAACGTAAGAAGTTGAGTCGAGTAAAAACAAGCACTGGGATACCGTACGACATGACGCTGGCAAATCGACGTCGAGCGTCCCGAAGCCATTCGTCACGACACCGACACAATATCCTGAATACAGCGAAGGCGAACTTTTGGAAACCATACGACGAGGATGGCAAACAAACGCTGAGCGTTGCGATAACTCTTGCAGCGACGCCAATAAAAGAATTCGAAATCTTACGAAGACGAGCATCAGTAGACAACGAAACACGACGCCGGCAGAGCGACGCATATCGTCCCAACGCTCATACATTATTCTGTAAAATCAGCAAGCCTAGGTACCGTAGACGACACGATGCTCAGAAATGGACGCCCATAACATCAATACCAGAACGTGCAAAACACACTTGTGCTCACGATTCAAACTGAGAACTTCGTAAATTACGACAAATACATCAGACCTTAAGTGCGTGATTTGACAGAAACTTCGTGCAGTTAAACAGAAGAGAATTCCTTGCAATCGAAAAGTTGTAGAATAATTGCGTATTATTAAAAAAACATTTATTGACCAGCGTTTTGTGTGTTATAATTCGTAACCAGGCCAATAACACTATAAGATTTCGCATGTTATTAAAGAAGAGACCTAAATATATACAACCACAATCAGATAAGAAATTAAATATATAAATACGTCACAATTTTCTTAAAAGTCAATTACACATATCCATTAATATTCTGAACTATTGATACTCCTTTATAGAACGTTCGTGTTGAATATCTTTCAATATTAAAGTGAATACAGCTCGTTTAAGGGCTACAGTTGAAACAGCTATACACAACTGTAGTAATAACATAAAACTAGCATATTTACTCTGTACTGAAGAATTACGCTGTGCAAATATTTTATTATAGGATCTACACACTATTTTCACAGTTAAGGACGAAAAATGTTATGTAAAAAAATTAATAATTATAGTAATAATTATACTCTACCAGTTTTCTAGAAGATAAAAATAATGTATGAGATCAACTTCGTCTCTTTCCAGAACTCACCTCAAAATATTTATTTTGTTAAATTATACCGATGACCTTATTACGCTAAAACCGAAGGACAGCACCTATACACAAATAAACAAGAGAATGAATGATAAAGAAAGACGACTGAACTGCTAACCGCGTCCTGCAATTGCACCATCAACAGGAAAATGTGTCCCTTCAGAGCACGGTCTTACGTTGCGTTTGTCTTGCAATACCACTGGCAAGAATCCTTAATATCGACCTGCCACATCTATTCAAACTGACAAGCTACTACTGCCCTCGATCGGAAAATATTACAACATGGAGACAAACATTAATCGTTTATAGGACATTTCTCATCTCTAAACAACCATTTAAGCTTAATGTAGGAGCCAGTACTTAAAAGGCTTTGCTTCCTTTATTGAAATTTAAGGTGCAGTAAACCTTACAAGCTTTTGCAAACACACAAGACCCCAAATATTGACATACAACACAGAAAATAGTTCACGAATGTAGCTGGTTAGAATTTAGGCTGATAAATCTACTGTAAGTTTCCGTAATTTTCGGATCTCACCAGGTGAAATCAGGAACAGACCTTCCAAGAATCCATGACCACTTCCTTCTAAACCACAGGCTACAAATATCTAATCTAATTAGCTCGTAATGTTACATCTTCATGGCACAGTCTTCTTGAGCAGTCTATGGTTATTCGGGGAGTCAAATATCCGCCTTTTATGGAATCAGAAATTTCACCAACCTCCTCTCTAAATCACACCACGGACCCTGTCCCGAGTCAGAAAAATTCAGTCCTCACTTATACGCTGTAGCTCTCCTAGACGAATGCAAATATTCCATTCCCATCTACACCTACGTCATCTCAAGGTATTACATTGATGTCTATTCGGCACAATTCCTCATGACGCAGCATTCACGAAAGCCTATGGTACTACGCCAGTCCGACAGCTACAAATCTGCTGACGAGATGCATTCTGTTAAGCTCCGTTCGGATAACAAGTCAACAGTATTGTCATTTGCATTAACAGTTCCAAATAAACACACCAATTATGCAGTTAAACAATAGCAACCGCGAATTCACGCAACCAAGTAGCAATCAGCACTTACCGCTTAGAAATATACGAGTATGAATCGATAGCAAGACGCAAATGTACATAGAATAACATCATAATTCTATTCACTAGGAAAGAAAAACTTCAATAACTTCCTACAAAGTACAAACCTTTTTTTTAGGAAAGGCAAAAGGAGATTATATTAATAATTAACATATAAATAAAGAATTTAAATTTAAATATGTACAGAAAAATCATAAACATTTTATCACTGCAACATTTTTACGATGGAGAGCATATAATAATATTAACTCATTAAATTGATAAGTTCATAGTATTTTTTGCACAGTTTCAAGTAGAACAGGCCACGAATTTCAGCAGAAACTTGGTGCCGAGTGACGAGTACCTACTTTGTTACATCGTACGGAGATCAGCCTGACATGCCATGAAGCGTTCTGCACCCACCATTTACATTCTTACTGGTATTTATAAGGACTGCATTTCTGATACAAGAACGAAGCAAAGTATACGTAAACTTAGCATTTCGTTAGTGAGCTTATTTTCTTATATTTCTGTCAAAATATTTCTTTGTAACTCTATGAAGGAAACAAACAAAACAACAACAAATTAAAATACTTTGATGAAAGAGTGGTATTAAAAGTTATTTTAGAGGAGGAACTCGTGAGGAATTGGCTCGGAACAGAACCCTCTTATGATTTGTATTGCCATTATAATTAGTTTAAATAAAACACAAGCGATTGAATGGTCTATACCTTAAGAAAATTCTGAATTTGAAGATGAAGTGGTAGAAATTTGTACACTTTTCTAGCTACATTTCTTACTTTAAAAAAGTAGGTATTTTAACTTTAACTTAATTTTATTCTTATCAAACATTCTTTGTGTGATGACTTCATCGTTTACAATTCGCATTCTGTTTCACTTTAATTGTGTTGAACTTGATCTTTCGAACACAATCAGCTCGACAGTTGCTTAGCTCTGATACCAAGAAATCCAATGCTTATACATCGTATATCTGCATGCAATAAGAGATGTTTAGACGTTGCCAAAGTCGTATCTACCCACTTGGACTTGCTTTATTCTCTACCAAACGACAGAAAGCATAAAGGCACCACTTATTGCACATCTCACTAGCGACTGTGGTACAGCCCGTGAAAAATATTTCAGACGGTCAGTATTTAAACAAGAGGAACTGTAATCCTCTCAGAACATATTTTCACCATATTTAGCCATGTCATTAGGTTTGTGAGCATACAGTTCTACAAACGATGTAGGGATTCCCTGGATGACAGCTATTGAGCTAGCATTTTTTAGCACTGGAAGTTAATAAATGACCTATAATATACTGTCTTTTTACAGCTTTTATATGTTATAATAGCTTTTGTTTTGAATAATGAACCTTTAGAACTGCTAAAGAAGAGTTTTCTCTATAACAAAATAATTTTTTCTTCGAGTTCAAAAATGTGAAGAGCAGTGCAATTTGTTAAGTGTTTTTATGTTTCATTTGAGATGAAGACAATCAGTTTATTTTTTCAATCATTAGTTTTAACTTTCCACTTAACAAGACTTATTATGACTTGTGCCTTATTCACTAAATATTAAGATACATTTAATAGATATTTAAATCATTAGGCTCTTCTTCTGAATGACTTTTATATGCGTGGGAAATATTAACATTTCACACTAATGTACCAAATTGTCTAACTCCCTTTTAATGCGTTATTTCCAGAAGGTGCATAAAATCAATATATAATGTGAAGGTCATGTTTCAACTACAAACTCCTTATTCATGCAACACCAAACCTGCTTTGCATTAAAGTCAGATCAAATGTTAAATTAAAAAAAATAAAAGCTTACTGTACAGAAATTGTTGCATAATATAGAGCTTATTAAATTTTATAATTTTTTTTACAACATACACAAATAGGATTTGAGGTTTTCATGGCAGTGTAGCTGGACTATTTTTTAAGGAAGTTGGTTTGAAAACTTGAATTTTTCAAAGAACAGTGGGCTGGCTGCTCAGCCTGGTGGGGATTTCCGTTGGAGGTGTTTTGATTCGCCCCACCCCACGCCATAAACTGTTGGCGTCACTAACAGTCAATTCTTGTTCGAGAGCAGTCGCATTTCAGTGTCGCTGTGTATTACTAAAGATTTCAATTAAGTTTTAGAAGTAACTTTTCTAAATATGTGTCACGTTGAATGCATCCCAATATTCCATGAGAAGATCTTATGATTCTGCTGACCAATAGCTAGCTAGTGATAAGAAGATGAGTGAGGTGTTCTGCCGCAGAAATTACGCACCTACATCTGGCATGATGTATGCAGGAAACGTGGCAAAGTGAAAATAAAAAAAATACTGTGGTGATAAGTGATTAACCGTAGACGGAAGGAAGACACTACAACGCCCAAGTTTCATGTAGACTCGCGACTTCGAAGAAGGACGCTTCAAAATCAGCAACGTCGCCATCAATGAAAGCTACGGATAAGTGTTAATGGTTACAGGTCAGTAAAGTGTTTGTACAAACTGTGTAAAATCATGGCGAACAAGGCCCTGAGAAACCGAGTAGTTGAACTAGATGGTGGTTCAGGTTACGAAGATAGTGATCTCGACCTTCCCAATGCACAAATAGAGTTTTTCAGAACAACAATTTGAAAGTAGCTTACCGACACCGGTAGAGAGAGATGCAGATACGATACAGAAGGAAACAAAGTAACAATGAACAGATAGTCAGTACAAATAACACTGAAACTAGCATGGCCCAAATTTTAGCACTGGTGCTTAGCGCTATTAATGAAGGAAACGAGAAATTGTCGTCGAAAATTGAGGCGGAAGGTGTCAAATTTTCACAAGCTATTAATTCTTGGAGAGAATAAATGAGACAGGAGCGCGAGGAATATCGAAAAGATATGCAGAAGTTATCAGAGGAAGCGAATGATAGATTGGGTGGACATGCAGAAAATACTAAGCAAGTTCGGGAGGAGTTGGTTAAGGAGTCAGAAGCAAGCACCAAAGCATAATATTGAAGAGAACAGAACTGAGGTTAATCGTGACTTTAGTCTTATGCGATAAGATAAAGATGAATTTCAGCGGGAAGTGACTAAGGAAAATCAGGTATGGTGGGATAAGGCGGGGGAGAAAATGTCCCAATTGAATGCTATAATACTAGTATTGAGAACAAAAGTAAATTCGACAATGACCCACAGCGGATCGCCGCTATCCAGAGTTACCCTGCTCCGAGAAACCAAAAACAGTTAACGCCCGTTTCTTTGCACATGCAATTTTCATAAGCTTCATTGTTAATTATGTACGTTTCGTTGCAGCGCTACTACCGCTGTTGAAAGGAAGCCGATGGAAGTGTACGGTCTGTGAGCGGTGTACGCCCTTGCCAAGTTTAGAATCTATGTTTACGGTCACAAGATTAAGTTACACAGAAACAGAAAGAACCGGAAGTAAACTGGATCTTATCGTTGGGAACCTCAGCTACAGGACAAGGCTAAAGGTCAACCAGCATCAGACGCCGCTTTGGGCATAACTGAAAACTTTTTATAAAGACATTCTCATGCCAGTCTGCCACGAGCCTTCGTCCAGTGAAGTCCAAACTTGTATAATGTCGGGTCGTGAGTTTGTTATTGAGGTGATTGAGAAATATAGAGAGTTGCCATGTTTGTGGCAGATAAGTAATGAAGACTATCATGATAAAGCTAAAAGAAGCTTAGCAATGGAAGAATTGGTGGTTTTATTTAAAACCAAAGATCCTACCGCCAACAAAGAAAATTCCCTTAGAAGTTGCTTCAGAAAGGAGCATAAGGACTTAAATTGCTTCTATTTAAGAGCCATTGCTTTGACCACTTTCGTTTTGGTTTTTTCCTTTTAATATACAGGCATACTGCCGTAGCTAGTACCATTTCTTCGTCCATCGCAAACACCACGCACTTCACAGAGGGACAACAAACCGCGACTGGCGTGACGCGACCGTGAATGTAGTACCTCTTTGGACGATGAATCTCCGCGGCACTGTGTAAACTTGACTATGCGGAGAGCGGAGGACGGAGCGTCCGCTCGACTATGTAACGGGCCGTAGTGAATGAGTTATATGCTCAGGTGAGCTAATCATAAACAGTCACTTGTGCTAATGTAGTGCCACGATCTTTTGTTCTGAATAACAATATATTCCGAAGATAAGAATTAAAATAATGGTATACATTATTTATAAACTTGGGTGTATTGCTTATTCTTACTGTTACTTATTTAGTAGTTCTTGGAAAATGTGATAGTATGATGTGGTAGACATAGTGACTTTAATGGCTGGTAAAAAAAAGAGAGTAGAGATTAATTTAATGCAAATGTTGTATGTCTGTTTAAACATATTGTACCAGCAACAGTGTTTTGAAACTGTCTAATAGCAGATGCCATAGGTTCTGGCGAATGTAATCATTGTTACTGCCGAATCACAAGTGAGTTATTTTCTGTGTTAAAGATGGCTGTCTTCTACACAATGCAGATACATAAAACAAAGTGCCAGAAAGAAATTATTTTTATGCAGTGTGAAATGTGTGCTAGTGATTACAGCTGCAAACAATAATTTCTACCTACACAAATAAGCATTAAAGTGTACGCACAGAGTTACAACAGCTTAAAGAATACATTATGAAAATATCAGTATTCCAAATCTGAGTACGCTTTTCCAGTTGTAACAAGCTAAGGTAAACATTACCTCATTCATTGGACCAAGAACATGTTTTCGTATGCATATCTTTACTAACTACTGTGTATATACAAAATATTATTTATTTATGTGCATGATTAATAATCACTTGCACTATAATGACAGGTGGAAGGTATGTTCCACGTGCCATCTTGGTGGACCTGGAGCCTGGAACAATGGATTCTGCCCGCTCTGGCCCATTCGGACTGATCTTCCATCCAGACAACTTTGTTTTTGGTAAGAGGTGCAGGAAACTACTTTGCCAAAGGTCATTATACAGAGGGGGCAGAGCTCATGAATTCTGTCTTGGGGTCATACCCAGCATCGGGAGGAAATTTGGGAGCTACAATGGGTAGCGTAATCCGGTCATGAAAACTAGCAATGGCTGGGGGTTCGTCGTGCTGACCACACGTCACCCTGTATCTGGTTGGATGATCGTTCACCTCTGCTTAGGCATGTGAGCGTGAGGCCAGCAGTCAAGCTAGTCGGCTTTGGCTCTCTGGAGCTGTTACGCCACGGATTATTATTAGTTTACTGAAACAGAGTCAGTATATTTTGCTTACTTTGGGGGAGGGAACAATGCTGAAGGTGTTGATGATCCTGTCAGGTCATCTCTCTCGAATCTTGGAGAGAAGCAGGGTTCCCATTCCAGACCCTGTCCCTCCACCCACAAAGTGGGTTAACTGGAAGCCCTGTAGGGAGCTACAGCGCTCTGCCTCCCTCCGTATTGCATCCATCACGGGTTCTAAGACCTTACTCCCCTCTTCACTGTAGCCCCTTGCAAAATTAGTCACTGGC